GGGATTCCAGTTCAGTGGAATCGGTGAAATTGTGTGATATTGGCGTCGTTTTGTCGTTTCTGACGTTGGTCCTCTTTCTACGTAAGGTGTCGGGAGAAGGGAGAAGATCCGGAATAGCATCCATTTCAAATTGTCGTTTTTCTTTCGACGTCTTGGGAAAGGGTGTTATGGGGATCTGCATCAGAAGCAATGACGCTGATTTTGTGGGGTTCCGTCGGTTTTGTCGAGCTGGAACATCATTTGGACACTTACCTAGATGGGTTTCCAGATCCTTTTATTCGGTTTCACGACTCAGTCTCACGTTTTCCGAGGAATAGCTTGAGTCAATTTCTGCCGAATCCTATATTTTTGAAATAGCATGCTTTTGAATTTAATCTAAAAATAAATATTTTTGTTTCAAACATGTTTCAAATTTACTCTCATATGTTTATATAATGAACTATAATATTTTTGATTTAAATGAACAAAATTTGGTTTCCTGTAGTTAATGATATAATAATTTTTTTTATACTAATTTTGTTTAGTCCTTGTGATTGGAAGTCACATATATTTTATAAATTAACTACCTCATCATTACATTGAAATATATAATAATAATCAAACTACATATACAAAATGTCACCATCAAGCTGCAGCTTCAAATCCGAAATGATGACTACTTGAAAAATGGTAATTTATATGTCGAATTAAGCAAATTAATAAAAAAGAAGTTCCAATTAAAACATGAAGTCCATGGAATCCAGTTGCTACAAAAAATTTCAGCCAATAACATTATCTGAATTGTAAATGGAGCTTCAATATATTCATATGCTTGTAAAATAGAAAAGTAAATTCCTAATAGAGTAGTAAAAATAAACTTTGTATAGTTTGAGTGTAATTATTTTATATTAAACTATGATAATCTCAAGTAACTGTTGCAGATGTTAATAAAATAGCTGTATTTAATAGAATAATTTGAAAAGGAGTAAAAGCAATATTTCCTACTGTTGGTTGTATTAAACCTACTTCAATGTTGAGGATAACCTTTTATGGAAAAAGCTAAAAATAAAAAAAATACCATTAGATCCTAATAAAGTTTTAAACTTTTTATGAAGAGTTAATAAAATATTATAAAATCGATTATGTATTAATCAATATGTCGAAGGAATAATTTAAAGTCCTAAGAAAGTACTTGATCAATTTAAAGAAAGATTTCAAATAGGAAGGATCAAATACAGAGAATGGATATGTTATCATATTCAATTTATTTTATGATGTTTAATATTTAAATTTTGGAAAGATTAATTCGAATTTTATAAGAAAAACCAATATAATTTTTAGTAATAAAATTTTTCTAAAGTAATATAGGTCATCATCTAATAAAGGCTATTTGATTAATTAAAAAATATTAGATTAATACAGTTTCTTAGTTTGACATACTAAGCTTTTTAGAAAACTATTTTAATGTAGTTTAACCATTAAAAGTAAATGTTTATTTACTATAATATGATTTAGGAGATAATTACTTGTTTTCAGTCATCGAATAAATTTATTTGGGAAGAAATTCATTTAATGGAATAATTTATAAGAATTCTTTCAATAAAAATATGATTTGCTCCTCAAATTTCTGAACATTGACCATAAATAATCCTAGTTGAATAATGAATAAAAATGTCTGATTTAATCAAACAGGTGTTGCATAAATTTTTACTCTAAGAGAAGGAATATTTCATGAATAAAGGACATCAAGTTATTCATTTATATAAAATCCATTTGCAGGAATTATGTATGAATCAAACTCTAAGTTTAAAAAATTAGCATTATCATAGCTTCAATATCATTGACGACCAAAAGCCTTTGATGTAATTAAAGGAGAATTAATTTCATATTTTAAATATAATAGACCTTATGAGGGAAAGGCAATAAATATTCAAATTACTGCTGGTAGATTTGTTTAATTAATTTCAATTGTTTGTCCATGAAGTAAATATCAATTGATAATTTTTTCAAAAAATAATATAAATATAATATAAGCAACTAATACCACAAACGAAGTGACAGACGGAGCGGCTCGAAAACTTTGGTGACTAACCTGCTAATGCAATTTTTCAGTGTACCACATGGCAACACCACTACTACTGGATTGTACCACATGGCAACACTACTACTAGATTGAACTAGCATTTTCACCAAATGTACTAGAATGTTTTGGTTCTATCTCTTTCGCTCTACTCAAAACTGAAATGCATAAAAAAATTACAAAATGATACGCACTCTTTGCACACTGTCAAAGAATCATTGTACACAAAATCAACTTTGTTCAAATCAAAACAAAAAAAAACTAACCCATCTGGTGGATGATGACACAAGCTTCCAAGAAAATTCTATTACAGTGAACCACGTTATTTAAATGGATTTCTTCCCCGCATAAACGCAAACCATCACTTGACCTTACCGATAATGGTTATAAATTGTTTATAATCCCTCCTAAACTTTAACTGAAATGGTTTTGGAACCTTACATGAACGTTTGTGTGATAAAGTTTTAACCTTATGTATTATGGTTTTTAGGAAGCGGACCTTACAAATAATGGGTCGTTAAGAATCATTACCATTCCAAATTCTTGTTTTCTCCATACATTTTCGGAAAGAGAACTATATTAGAACTTTTTTACTTATGGTTTGAGAACATTAATGATTATGGTTATGGTAGTCAGTAAGGTCCATTAATCGTTTTGTATTATCGCTCAACTTTACGTGGAATATATCGTGAACTGATAATTATTAATTTACAGGCAACCAATTCGCGATTTATTCCACATAAAGTTGATCGATGTTACAAAACCATTCATGGGCCTTAAAAATGTGCAACAACTAATACTATCTAACTAACGTTAGACTCATGCAATACAATATCAATTGAAGAATTACCAGGAACTACTCCTGTTCATATTACAATTACGATGTTGGTACCTGCGCGAATCCATTTATTCACTACTGCTGCTGCCCCGAATAAATCACTCTAGTGTGGGTGAGCCTTGAAGCTTGCCTTTGGATCCCTTATCGTTATGATGTATAATTTATATATGTACTAGCTGAGTGTGCCCGGTCTTGCTCGGGATTCAATATTAGATTGAGTTTATGCGCCGATTAAAAAAAAAGCATGCTATATTGTACGTAGCCCCCCCCCCCCTATTATCTAAGGGGCTACCCTCTATGATTATCTCCTTATACCCCCACACTCGCCCCCACATGCCTAATTTGGTTCCATTTGCTTGATTAGTTCTCGAGTTATGCAGAAATTTCTGTTTCATTTGTATGGGAGCCCCCCCTTACAGAAGGGGGAGGGGTCTCGAACCATCATAAGAACCTTCCACGGCCCCAAAAACCCCTGTATACAAATTTTCACGCCAATCGGTTCAGTAGTTTCCGAGTCTATAAGGGTCAGACAGACAGACAGACAGACAGACAGACAGACAGACAGAAATTCATTTTTATATATATAGATAGATTACCAATTGCATCTGAAACTGGACTGCCACAAAAATTAAAAAAATGTGATAAAAGTGCACGTTTCCGTCAAATTGTTTTTAGTGTCTTCAGCGTACTTATTGCTTGCATTATAAGGAATAAGTGTACAGAAAACACCAAGACAATTAGACGGAAACTCGCAATTTTATCACACTTCTTAATAGTTTCCAGTTTGGTGTAAAATATGAACTATGCTAGCTTGGAATGTTTTCAACCTCTCTGTGCTAATCTAATAGTCCTTAACTAACTATTATCGGTACAGCTCAAAACCGGAATAACCCACTAGCGACAATCGAATTTACTCTCGTTCTATTCATTATACATAGTATCGGAAGTTATAGCACTACTACTTCCGACACTTTGTAAAGTACAAAACTAGTTCCGGTTTTCAGCTGTACCGATAATATTGTACATTTTCTTCACCGTCGTCTGTTACCCAGCAAAATAAACACGCCGGTTCCAAATCCTCAATATTAATACCACATAACCGACAGATTCCCACTCCCAGGATCCACAAAATAGATACGCTAATCAGCAGTATCGCCACCACGATTATCTGTCAGCGCAATCCGCCCTGGGAGGCCAACTCGATGAAAGAGGCTGTCATTTCCTCTTAATACTTAACTTTCCCAACTCCGGTTAAGGCCCAAACGCAATGACGACGGAAGCGGAACGGCAACGGCAGCGGAAAAGCCCGATCTGAGTAAGCCTACTTGTCGGATTGAAAATTAGTTAGATCCAAATCGACTTCGGTTAGGCATCTTGATGTCATTAGTGACAACTGTCAAACTTTCCGTTTCCGTTCCGCTTCCGCCCACAGTGCGTTTGGGCCTTTACTGTGCCATACAATCCTCCGGTCCACTTCGCGATTCTCATGTGGATGTGGATGTGTTTTGATTCTCGGGGTATTTGCGTTTAAAGCCATTCTTGAAGTTTGGTTGTTCCGCCTATTTCAATTGTTGGTCTAGAAATGCTCGTTTGTATACACTCTGCGATCGGAGCGCGAAGTTTGACGCTTGATGCTCTAGCAGAGTGTAAGCGAACAAGCATACAATTTTTATGCTTGTTCGCTTACTCTGCTAGAACCCGAGCGTCAAGTGTCAAACTTCGTGCTCGGATGGCAGAGTGTAAATAAACGAGCATAAATTCCACCACAGAGATGGTCTAACGACGTCTAACCAGCCATACAAAAAAACGTCTAACGTTAGTCTCACGTTAGACTAACATGTTAGATCGAAAAGAGCTGTAACGTCTAACATAATGTGTCATATCAGTCTAATATTAGACGAACATTAGACTAACGTTAGACCAAATGTTAGTCTAATGGTCTAACGTGTTAGACTAACGTTAGACTCATGTTAGACTAACCTTCCGTGCTGGGTCCTGTTTCGGATGTCGAACATAAAAACAACTGCAGGAGTCCTTTTTGATTCGGTCGTATGTAACATTTTTGTCAATTAGAGAAACGAGGTGTTTTGTTTTGGTCAACAAAAAATTGTTTCTATTTTCGATGCGATAGATTTTTGATTTTCATGACAAGAAGATCAAGTATACAATAAAATTCGTGTGTGCTATCTGCTTCTCCCTCCCTGGTTAAACTGGGTTGAACTACTATCGAAGAAAATCTTTATTTCATATTAGTACAATACAGTGGTTGCTATAAAGAAAATACATAGCAACGGAATGATGTTGCATTTCCATTGCTTGATTCGACCCTTTAACAGTTATGAGTCAGTATAATTTCCAATAAGGATAACAATTAGGGTTAATGTCCCTAATATAGAACCCATACATACATTTTGAAAGAAAGAATAGTTTGACAATTTTTCACTATCAACCAAAAATATCTATTTATCGATTGTGATACATTTATTGTTCAATTGATGTTGCAATGTGGTTAGAATGATTTATAAATTATAATTAAGTTAACGTGAATTATCTAAAATATACCTTTGTGGTCTGGTAGCTAGCTGTGTAAGAATGTATTAGGAAGATGCATAAATGAAGTAGTCTTTTAGGGTGACCAGCCATGTTTATAAATACGCTACAAGGGGGAGGACACAAAGTTGGTGCTTCATGAAAAGTAATCATACGTTAAACGCAGCACCAACTTTGGACCCCCTCTCCTTTATAGCGTATTTTTCTACATGGCTGGTCACCCTAAAATGCTACGTCATTTATACATCTTCCCTTAGATGTTGCAACTCTAGCTTGGTGACATTTTTTATAATCATTCATATTTTCGTTTTCAATCGAATTATATTTTCCATACTTTTTTGGTATGGAAAATACGGTTCGAACGAACACGAGAATATATGTATGTGTAAAAATTATTACATGAGCTTTACTGCCCATGAAAGCTTAACAGTCACATGTTTGCTTGATTTCCGATTCAAATGGGACTGTTATGTGTTTATGGGTAGTTTACCACCGTTAAACACATAAATAAATCTCAAGTTCTATAGAAATCGCATAGAGCATAGACCGTTAAGTGTATTACGGTAGTCTAATCTGAGCGTAGCATTAGGGCATTCTGTTATGATTGATAACAGGATACATTTTCAATGCGAATGACTGCCACTAAATTCTAAAACACTATCAGCATGATGAATATTGAAGGTAACTATTTTTTGCTAAACCTTCCCATCGATCAGGAACAGCGAGAAAGTATCTGAAAGAAAGAACAATTCCTGTAGATTTTATTTTTCAGATAATTTTAATTATTATTATACCGATCCATTGCTTCGATAAACCGAGTTTTGTAATCTTTTGGCTTTATCACCGTTGGTGGCTTCCCATGACTTAATGAACTGACGGAGTGTTTAAAAAGTGATTCCACCTTCTTGTCCAACGTAAAAGTTCGAATATAATCTAAATTCAAATGTATAGTCTCAATTAAACTTCGCTGAGTATCTACTACATTCTTACCAATTATTCCAACAACCAGCAATCGTTCTTTATTGTCCAATCCAACCAACAGGGAATAATCCATCACTCGATTCCTCTCTAAAAATGAAGCATCTCTATCTATCGCTTGCTTCAAGACGGTTCTGCTGTGAGTTAAGATATATAACGGGTTTGTCCATGACACTAAAAAGCAAATAAATTTAGTACATGATTGTAATGAAGCTGTCAGTGGCCTACTCTGCATCAAATTTTCATCCATTAGAACTATTTCACCCGACTGCCTGTTTGGATCAACCATTCTGTTTCTGAGGGATCCCTTCAAGTCAAACTTCTCAGTTATTTCTCTATTACAGAACAGGTTCTCCATTACCAACACCGTTTTTTCATAGGATGTGTTGCTAGTTAAATGAAAAGAACATGAGTACATTAAGAATTATAAGCAGTTTACATTTGGCTATTTGCTTGACCACGTAGAACAATTTCGTTATGTTATGAGAGCAATCTCAATAGTCACTTTCAAAAGGTTAATAATAAACTTATTACACATTGATACAACCAAGCGGCTGTCAACTTGAATATTTTCGATTCATCTACCCGACTTGAAAAGGTGTACCTATTTTGATTTTTTTTGTTATTTATGAATTTTTAAATTTTGTGCATTTTGGTATTAAAGTGTATTCAATTCATTATGAAATATATTTTTCTTGTATAAAATATTTTTAATGTATTTTTAAGTATTTTTATTATGGTATTTAAGTTTCAACGTGTACACATTAACGTATTTTTGTGTATTTTCCGAACTGTGTATTTACAACTAGCTGATTAATGAAGTTGATCGCCCTTCGGTTACAACATATGCGTCTAGACTAGGGCGTGACAACCAGAGCTGGTAAATATCACGGCCGTCATGTAACAATGAGAAAACTGGTCCTCTCATTATGGTTCTACAAAGGTTAATTTAATTTGTATTCGTCTTCTTTTTGAAATATTCTTCAATCATCATCATTGGTTTACACATACATTCTCATATTATTATTGGGCATTTCACACCAAACTGGACTAATAAGCGCGTTTTCACTTATTAAAAAGTGTGATTAAAGTGCAAGCATCCGTCTAATCGTCTTAGTGTCTTCGGTGCACTTATTTCTTATGACGGTGCACTTTTATCACACTTTTAGCATTTTTGGTGCAGTCCAGTTTCAGATGCAATCAGCAATAATACAAAAATTTAACACTTGTATTTCATGATTTTAGAACGAAAACTTCCTGGGTAAAACATATTCACTGTATTTACTTACTTGTGTTCTTCGAAGCTTAGCACAATAACAAACAATCGAATACATAAAATCCAAAACAACTGCTACTCAAAACTCGTAAAAGTATCATTGAAAAAACGTTGCCAGATGTATTGCCTCTAGCAATGGATTTAAGTTTATTAAAACAAACAGTTGTGAAGTTTGACTCATTAATATACACGGTTAGAAAAAAGTACCCAAAATTAAGTTCTTTTCACTCATCTCGACACTATAGTGCAGGAACCCAAAAGTAGGTAGAGCGTGTCAAAGTAATTTTCATTTACTTGTGTGCAGTTCGTATGGAATTTTCGACTGACTTTTTAACCAAAAGTAAGTTAGTTATTCCCAACAGTAGGTAAATATGATTATACTCAACGTTGGGTTCCCACACTTTACTACGGGTTGGGTGGTTTTGCTCCTCCGTTTTTGACAACATTAGTAGGAGAAAAGGAGACAAACTAGTGAAAAGTAGGTAAAAGTGAACTGGCCGTTGGGTACTTTTTTCTTACCGTGTAGGTGAGTGGATGTATTTAATGGTGAATAAATATCAGAAACTGAGTAAATAAAACAAAAACGACCCTTCTAGGCATTTTACCGGTCCAATTTAAAAAGCCACAGAAGATTGAATTCAACACTAACAGGGTTGATGGCAGCAGTGCATGTAGCCTGGTATTCGCTTTCCCGCTCAGGGGTGTAAACAAACTTGCATACAACGAAGTCTGCCAGTGTGAACGTTTTGTCTGCTACATTCTTATGCACTAGATAATGTGACATCACATTTGCTGTTGTATTAAAATGAAGGAAGAAAAGAGATGGTTAAATCACAGACAAACAGACATAACACATTGAATATTTCTCACTGTAAAACATCGTCGCAAAAACATTACCGCCATCTGTTGAGTACACTGTGGTGGGTAGTACGCAGATGGCGGTAGTGTGTAAACGTCAAACGCAAGGGAATTGACTATGCGCGCCACAGGTGGCGGTACTACCAACTACTTTTAAATTGACCGTTAAATGCTTGTTCGATGAACAACTTGCGAGAGTTATGTCTGTTTGTCTGTGGTTAAATTTTCCTCACCATACCAGTTGATATTTATGAAACATGGGCAGTTTTGGCGTGGGGACATGCACTTCCAATGTATTTTACCCATACATTTAGAAAATGATGGAAACAATTGACCCTTTGTAGAACCTTATCACGAGACGAAATTACCTATCACGAGATTTCTTGTCATTTTCCAATGATCTAGCATTCATAAGAATAATTGTCTTACGGCTGTGACATCAACATTTCTAACTGGTTTAGGTGAATTTAGGCAAGCAACAATATGTAATCGGTAGAGTGAATATATTTTTTAAGATTTCCGCGGTACAAAGTAACAATAATATCAGTAAATATTAGGCAAGCAAGTAATAGCGATGTTAACAACACTGTCACGTTCTGTCATGACGAAACAATCGATGAGATTTTGAAGTAAATCTCTATCATCGTTTTCTCATCCGATGATAGTGACAGAAGTATCTCTGTAAATATCGCGTGAGATCTTTCATTGAAAATGACAATTGCCAGCCCTGGTGACAACTGGCTTTTTATTCTTCTCCCTAAATTTTGGGACTCCTTAACTACTACCAACTGTAAGAATATTATTAGGAAAAATGCGCTTATGAAGTTCATACTATAACAAATAGATTAGAATTCAGGCTTGAACATGCTCATTATAGCTCAAATGCTACTTTTCGAAATAACGAAACTATGAGATGCAATAATAATGATGTTTATATGTAAGATGCAAGAAGAGGAGGTAAAGTTTGTGTATGACAAATAAAACTTGTCAATTTCACTTCCAGAGTGTCCCAATTAGCTATTTAAGCTGTAATGAGTAATCGCGATGAGCAAATACTATTCGTTATAGCTAATCGCTAATAGTGACACTCTGGAAGCAAAATTGACAGGTTTTATGTGTCATACTTCATACACAAACTTTACGTCTCCGATCAAGAGAGACGACCAGTCCATACCGCTGAAGAAGACCGTCCGAGTTCTGGGAGTTCTCGTTGACCGATTCCTCAACTTAACAGCATTTCAGTGCAGTCAAGAAAAATTGCCGCAGCCGAGTGAATCTCATCCGGACCATTTCCCGACAGAATAGATCGAGCAACCGCAGCATCCGTTTTCACGTGGTGAGTGCAATTATCGACAGTCGCCTTCTATACGGGTTGGAGATGACCTGTATCGCAATGGATAAGCTTTTAGCTACGTTAGCACCAGTCTACAACACCTACGTCCGGATTGTCTCTGGCCTGCTGCCATCCACGCCCGCTGATGCTGCATGCATCGACGCAGGCATCCTGCCTTTCCGCTTCCGTATAACCGCAGCTATCGCAACCAAAGCCACTGCTTTCATCTCAAAGACATCTGGAAATCAAGAGATCTTCCTCCTCGACGAGGGGAACAGACTCCTCCGCACGGCTGCCAACGAAGATCTCCCCCCAGTGGCCAGGGTGGCCAGATGCTGTATTTGATTGCAGAAGTGATGACGGCGTTTCAGTCTTGTTGTTGTACTGTACCTGCTTTTCTGTTCGGTATTGGTTGATGGTTTCACCCTTCCTGAAGTTGATAAATTTTGGGACCGAGAGGGCTGCAATTGGGTGGTCGGTGGTCAATGGCGAACCAGCAAATTGTACTTTCGCTGTGGCCAGTAGTTACTTGTCCGATCCCTTGGCGCGGCTGTATTCATTTCCTTGGATGATGTTTTTGGTACTGCTGGTGTGGATTTGTTGTTGTTTTCATCGTTTTCTGCTTCGTTTGGCTTTTTCAGCAGCTTTTACCTGCAACCTGCGAGTCCGTTGTATTGCGTCAAATTTAGACCAGTCCAGCTTCCAGTGCCATTTGTTGCCTAAAAACCGCCATCCAGGAGATGAATGGTCAGTTTTTGGAGATATTGTATTTTTGTGTACTGGAGGACTTTCAGCTAATTCTTCCACCAAGGACTTCTGATGAGGTTCTGCAGCATTTATATGAAGATTAGAAACAGCCCCAGATACAAATTTCACTTCCTCAAGAATTTTCAGAAGTTTCGGCTCTGGATGATGATGATGAGGTGATGATTCGGCCCCTTTTATTGAAAGTGCGATGTCATTTTATAAGCTTGATAGCCGTTCGTCAAGTAATTTTGTAATTTTTTGTGACATCAACGAATTTGATTCGTTGATGCCGGTTATTGTCGCGTGCGCTTGTGAATCACACGTTTTCATATTCTGGCCGACCGCGCTGCACATGTTATTATTGTTTTTATTTATTACTGCTGAATGGAAGAAAAATGACAATGTCAGAATAAAAGAGAAAAAACTGGTTGCTTTGATGGCGCACAGAATGTGTATTTCAGCGCGGTGCAGGACACTATACACTCAAAGATAAATTAAATCAAAAAGCGAGGGGGGCGACACATCTAAATCTCAATCATAGATGCTCGAAAAATCTCACGCCAGCGAATAAATCTACGAAAAATCTTCTTGCCATTTTAAGCATCTAAATCCATCTACTCGCATCGACTTCCATCTTTTTGCAGGAAATCTTCAAAATCTTCATCAATCTTCTTAAAATCTACTCATCGTACGTGCAGCTAAGCACAGCAAAACAAAATCGTTTCTGCATCGAAGATAGAGTCGCCCCCCTCGTCCAAAAGCTTAAAAAGTATGCAGATTCCCGCTTCACCTTAGGGGCTGTTCATAAACTACGTAGACAGTTTAGGGGGGGGGGGGTTTGACAATTATCCACGGCCCATACAAATTTTAAAATTTTTGTATGGACAATTGTCTACGCAGGGGGAGGGGGGGGTCAAGAATCCCAAAAATCTGTCTACGTAGTTTATGAACAGCCCCTTATTGAGTCCGAGCCATGATTACTTCGGCAGTAGTCATGCATGATTAAAATCGAAATAATCTTTCCAGTATTAAATTTTATTCTTTTTCAATACTGATATATAATCAAAAAAGATAAAAATTCAATCAGAACTTACTAAAATAGAATCAAAAAAGATTAAACTTTATTAAAAAAAAGATAATCTACAATCTAATCAACCATGATTAAACTGGGATAA